CGTCGGGGTCAGTGGTGCTGGGCGGGTTTGCGGGAGATCAGAGCGGGGCTGCATGTGCCCAGCCAGCCCTGGGGCTCGTGTTGTGGAAGGTCTCGCCAGGGAAACCAATACCCCCGGCTTCGTTCCACATTCCTCTGCCACGGCAGCACGGCCAAGGACCGTGCGCTATTTTCCCGGCTCCCCTCCTCTCCTTCCCCTCCGCTGGCCCCAAATGCGGCCCCTCCTCACTGCCAGGTCTGCACACTCCTCCCCAGGACTGTCGCACAGCGGTGGCACTGGGCACCCAGAGGATTAAGGGGGGAAAAACACCCCGCAAACATTGCAACAAATCATAATAGTGGGGGGAAAAAAAAAAGAAGAGATCACAAAGCTGCCTGTAATGCCGTGGGCTGGGTGATGGTGGCCAAGCCCTTTCTTCAGCAGACAGCTATGCAACACAAGCAGCCTTCCCCAGCACCCTGCAGAGGATGCAGAGTTAATAGTTAACCCTTCTGGGGATCGAATGCCTTGGTGAGACACCAGCCAGGGCTTTTTCAACACACAGCCAGAAACTAGCCTTAAAGTAGCTCAACAAGTGACTGCACTCAGAGGATTTCACCTCTCCAAACTTTACGACTGGAAAAATACCATCTACATGTCATTTACATGCTTAAATATAGTATCTTCTGTTGGGAGAAACAAACAAACTGACAATGTGATACCCTGATACCTCGTTCGGACATGCTCTTTTATCTGCTGGAAAGTTATAAAACTCAGCGTAACAACAAAGCTAAAATAAGAGTGGTTGTCAGGCTCTGATGTTGGCTGTTAAACAGAATGAAAGAATATTCTTGGAAAAGGGCCCTCTCACAGAAGGCAATTTTTTTCTTCTTTGAATCTTTTAAATGATTTATTTATCCTTTAAATTCCAAAATCTCAGAGCTTAATAGTTAAGCTCATATTCTTTCCAGGAGCTTTTCCATTTAAAGGAACAAATAAACACACTATAGAAAGCTAAAGCAATTCCTGCACGACCCAAAGCACAGACTAACCTGCTCCAAAACACAGGGGAAAAATATTATCAGTTTTCATGTTATTTATCTTTTTTTTTTTCTCTAATGCGCCAAAGAGGAAAAGGGAGATATCTTATACGGATGCCTATAATTAAACAGTAACCTGTTAGAAAGCCAAAAATAATAATAAGCTCCACTGAGCATGAAGAGGGCGGCACATTTTTTCCGCATGCAGCCCAGCTGCCGCCGGACGATAGCAGAAAAGTTAACAATTACACAAGACACTCAGATCAAACCTGCGATAGGAGAGAGTTACGTCATGCTCAGAGACTCACCGCTGGATGCAGGGATCAGGGTAGTACTGCAAGGTGGTGAAAGGTGCCGGTTCAAAATTCATTTCCTTCGAGCCCCTCTTTGGGTACAAACCAAAATAAAATAAATAAATAGTTATAAAGTCAGCAGGCTAAAAGCAATAAGGTCAAGTGGTACACGAGGTACAACTTTAGAGATTTATTTTACACTTGCGAATGGGTGGGATCTCCCAGGGACTTGGCCAATGGGATTCATCAAGTGACCTGAGCATCACCACCAGTCCCTCCTCGCCAGCTGGGCATCTTCTGCACGGATATTTTCCCCTCCTCTCAACATCCGTAATAAACTTTGGTGTACGTCGGCCACACTTGCTGTTGGGAGCTCATCTGGGGCATCTCTGAACTTCTGATCTCGCCGGTCATTGGTTGCCTTCCCGCCTGACTTCACAGTTTAATTTTGGCAGCTCTTGCGATTTTGCAAACTGCTGTGGCCACTGGTCATCCTCGTCTCCAGATGGCAAGAGTTTCCTCTGCTGGGTGCAGCGCCCGTGCTGAATTTCACCGTACTTTAAAAGCTTTCCTTGTCAACTCTGTGGCTAATACCTGCGTAAAGTTGCCTGGGGAAATTTTCAGTCTCTCTCGTGCCACAGTTCAAACAGTCTGTTGTGGTCACAGTTTCAAAAGCTGAACGACAAAATATGGGGAAATTCCTCAATTAAAATTAACTCTGAACTTTTGCTCCTCTGCCTCCCCTTCCTGCCCTCCTCCCCCCAAGAAAACTATCAGACGTAATTGTTAATGTTTCCCCTCTATATCTTTTAACCTTTTTATCAAAGAGAATTGAGATGATATAAAAAAATCTTTCATTGTTTTAGTGTTCTGTAAACAATATATACTTTTTCCACATGAAAAACAACAATAGTTTCAAATATCTTGAGGAGAAAAGAAAAGTAAGAAAAAAAAGAAAATAGGAGTCATATATTTTTCAGGCCACTAAAGCCTAAGGAAACAAGAGTGTTCACCAAAACAAACTACCAAAGATGAAAAGCAGATTTGATTTTCCTGAAGGAAAATAAAAGCCAGGAAGGAAGACTTTAAGTCTCCCCGCCCCCTCCCCCCCCCCCCCCTTTTTTTTTTTAATTCACACAGAAAATCATTCAGGAAAGCAACCTTGTTTGTTCCCCTGTTTTTCCCCCTCCATGGCTCATCCAAATAGTACAGGCTGTAAACCTATCCTGGTTTTGTGGTTTTGGAGAATGAATGAAATATGAATCAGGAGCTAAATTAAAATGGATTCCAGCAGGAAAAAATAGCGTCCATGTATCTATGCACCAGTGGGATTGCATCTTCAAGCAGACGTATATGCTTGTGTATACGAAGAGAGGGGAAGGGGCTGCCCTATAGCTCACCTACAGTGCATCTTTTGTGCTGATGTCAGCACAAATGCCAACTTCCCAAGCGAAAGCCAGGAGCCCTCTGAGAGAGCAGCGATTGCCTCTTATTTTTCCCCTCTGTTTTCCTTGTAGGAGATTTTGGTTCGAAGAATGTCATGTGGAAACATTTTCTTTGCTGCCTGTGCCAGGGTGGCAGGGGAGCTATTTCAGACTTGACATTCTCCACCCACACTCAGCCTGATAGTTCCTAACATCTGTGAATTGTGAATCCTGTAAACTCGCAGGGCTGATCCCTGGCCAAGTCCAAACAGCTTTCATTACAATAAGTGGCACTCGCCAAGGAAGAGAGGCTGGAAATGAAGGATGTATTTATTAACTGAAGTTAAGGGCTCCCTTGCTGCTGGACACTGCTTCCTCTGCCTGGCCTGTGGAGCAGTAGTAATACAAACCACCTTTCTTCTCTTAGGCTGAGCCCTGGAGTAAACACCAAATCTCGTAGCCTGCATCACTGGGGAAGAAGTCTGGAAATGTCCAAACCAGGCTCTGCTGGGGAAGGGAGAAGGGGAATCGCAACAAGGCTTGTGTACACACGATGCAGCCCAGGTAGCATGGCTGCAGAGCGACTGCATCATCCCCTTCTGCTGCTGAGGTCAGGGCTGTGCTTACCCCTGTGCAGCCGCCTCTCCCAAGGCAACAAATACCTCCAGAAAATGGGCAAGGAGAGACAGGGGCCAGTGCAAACTTGTGGTCCACACTGCTAGCCTGGCTCTGGTCTAGGCTTTGAGCATCCACCCTTAACCAAAGACACAGAGGGCAAGTCTTCTCCATGCACAAACCATTTGAGCAAGAGCTTGGGTTCATGTTCTCTTGCTCCAGGACTCAGTTTCAATCTGCACCCGTTGGTATGGATAACCAGCCTGCCTGGGGAGGTGCATGCAGGCACCAGGCTGTGCTGTGGGTACACTGCTGAGACCTCATGCTTGCTCCTAGAGACACACCAGAAGCTTGTTGGATTTCTTCTAGCATGCCCGTGGTGGGACTAGCTGTTATGTCTGCAGGCCTGGCTTCACGAAAGAGCAGCCATACATCGTGTGCTCTCCCAACAGCCTGGAAGAGTTTGCCTTTCCTGACAGACTTCAGCCTAAAAGGGATAAACCTCATGCAAAAGAAATGCCATGTGAAAATGGCTGTTCTCGTGCAATCCTGCTCTACCTACATCTCCACGGGAGCTGGAGAAGAGTCTTTCCCAGCATGGCCTGGGTGCCAGGGCCAATGCATTGGGAGCAGGGGAAGGCTGGACAACTCCCACCCAGAGACTCAGACCTGCTCTCCTGGTTTTGGCCAGTCTCCTCACCTGGCACGTGCCCAGATAATGCTGTGTGCCCAGGTCACATATCCCAAGGGCTTTGTGAAGTACAACAGGCAGCTTCTGGAATTGATGCTGCTGGGCTGCCTCTGCCTCCAAGGATGAACCTGACCCCTGGTTTTACACTACCTTAAGTCTGCACAGCAGAGTACCCCTCGGTACCTCGGACACCCTAAGTACAAGTCTGCTACAGCCCAAACTACTGAGCCTGTGATTCCTGCTTTTAGTGCTGAACATGTCTAGCAGCACCGCAGTCAAGAAAAGGCAGTTAGTCTCCAGCTTGCAATTCACACCAAAAGAATAACTTCTACTGAAAAACCATAATTAATTTAAAAAAGAAGCACCACATAAGTGTAATGAGTAGTAGGAGCTTGCAGCAGGGCTCTCTTCTCACTCACAAGGCACTGATGGGAGGGGGTGTCTAGCAAGGTCATTTCCATAAAAACTTCAAAAGGGGCCACCAACTGCCCAAGGTCCTTACCAGCCCTCTTGCCTGGGACTGGGCAAATGCAAATGTCTCACAGTTTGGCTCGTTTTGGCAGTGCACACAGCACCTGGCTGCTTTTCCCAGAGACCTGGACATTTTCAGCCTCCCACAGAGATCTGGACACATTTTGAAGTAGCTCAGAAGGTCCATTTTTGCTTTTCCCAGCTAGAAAATGGAGCCACGGAAACCCACTGGTGACAGTGCACAAAAAAACACCTGCAAAAACCAGCAAGTCTCCTGATTTCTCTCCCCCAACCCCAGCTTCCTTCCTCCCCCCTGCTCACAGCCAACATTTAGCTGTGGGTTGATTCACCATTAATTTAGGCAGAGGTATCTACCATTGCAGTTAGACTGCATCAAACTCCTCTCAGCTGCAAGGCGCTCCTTTGCATAGCACAGTCCGCAGTGGAAACACAAGCCACAGGGTGTGTGCATGTATGTATTGCCAGTACCCCATGCATAGCTGGGAGGCTCTCAAGGCTAAGTGGTATTTGGCCAACCCCATTCGCACTGCCTTAAAAAAAAAAAATAAATCTGCTGGGAGATGGAGCCCAAGACACATGAGAGGTGAAGATTTCAGAGGGGGTCTGAGTGGGTACATGAGGGCTAGCAAACTTCATCACGGCAGCCTGGGAGCACAGGCAAGGGGGAGCTTCTCGCAACAGCAGTCAACTCAAGAGGAAGAGGGGCTTGTGATATTCTCAGTGTTCACTACCCTTCCTAGGAGGTTTCCTTGCTGGTAACAAGGGTGATGCTATTCTAACGGCAGCAGGCACGTGTCCTGCAGAAGCAGGGCGGAAGCCGGGGTGTCAGGGAGCTGTCTGGCTAGCGGATTTACAGCCGAGCCTCTAGGGCTTGCGGTAAGCAGGCGGCACAGGGATATGCGGAGGAAGCATGTGTGTAGGTGGGCAAGAATGCAGGGCATCGCTCCGCCACTGCTGCTTTCACGTCTGGGAGAGAAAAACAGCCAGAGAAACAGCTGTGGACTGCTCTCCCGTTACCCCTCTGTGCACCGTCTCTACGGGTTCGATTTAAGCTGTCATTGAAACGACCACGAGATTATGTTTTAGCGGAGGCAAACATTTATATCCTCGGAGGAGACTGTTGGGGATTTATAATGGTCTCCCCACCGCCACCCAAATTCAGTGCCAGGATGCCTGTGTGCTAGCCCCAGTCCTGAAAGGGAGAGACACAGTTTCCTGACATCTCTGCGGCTCCAGTCCCGATCTATGGGTCTGAGGACCTCTGAACGGCTTGGAGCTAAGGAAGAGAGGGAATGGGAGATGCCAGCTTTGCAACTGCTGGCTTCAGGATTTGCCTGGAATCAGCCCCACCCTTTACACCAGGGGATGAAACGTTTCATTCGCAGCTTGGGGTTTCCAGGGGAGTGGTTGTGGCCGTGGGTTTTTTGTTTGTTTTTAGGTGGTTTTTTTTTAAGTTAAAATGAATTTCTTTTAAGAGCAAAAAGTCTGTGGGATATTTGGGGATTTTTTGTTAGAAAAAGTTGAAGAGAGGGAAATAATTCCCTTCTACTAGCAATAAAAATGTCTTTAGCTTGGCTATCCAAGGGAACAGGAATACATAATGTCAGTGTCCCTTTTGAGCACATTTTCCAATTTCAACTAAATATTACAGATGTTTAAAGGCCTCAAAGATATTAAGGTTTTAGGAGTTTTGTGAACAGAAGCAAGCAGAGGAAAGACAACTTTTCAGTAACTCCAGTGAAGGGGAAGAGGCAACAGGAGTAGAACCCTCACAGACTTCGGAGGATCTACCCGAATGCTGCGATGGTGGGAAAAGCTTCCACAACAATTCACGTTTTGCCTCCAACCAACAGGG